TTATTAAAAACAAGTCTTATAATGAAAAACAAGGTTAAATTCCTAAATAAGGGGATGAAAGAATCTAACGTTAATTAGGTCCGAACGGTTTCGGTAAGTTTGAAACTTTTCTATATAGGAAATCGATGTAAATGGACTGGGAACAGAGGGGAGATTAACAAAAAGCCAGGTCCGTTAATCAGCGATGGCGGCCCGATTGGCACCAGTCCATTCATCAATATATCCGCGAAAGTTTCCCGGTTGGTACGAGATGCGGCTGACGCGCTCACGAAACTTTGCGGACTCGCCCTAACCGGCGTCAGAATTAATTCACGGACTCGGGCCTCGCCAGCTGGAACTTCTTTTATAAAAAATAGCAATATATTTTTTGTTTTAGTGACAGTTTTATACTGCAAAATATATGCAAAGTATATGCAAAGTACATATGTATATAAGAATATATGAATCGAGAATAAATAAGTACTGGCCGGAACAAAGAAGGACTGGAAACGATGGAACACATATTCGAAAAATGCGAATTCACTGAACACGAGGCGTGCAGATGAAATGAAATACTCAATGCGGATACAAAACATTTGAACAAGATATGGCAAGTAATATGAACCCAACGACAGAGTCAAGAAAGAAACGAAGAGAACGCAAGAAAGGTTAATGAAATGAAAGAAAACAAAGTTAAACAAGTGATGGCATCAATACAATTGGTTACACGACACCTTACGCACATACACATACACACATACAACGTAAATGTAATTAAGTTCGTAAATTATACAGGGTGAGTCATCTAACGTTTGCACCTCAAATATCTTTGTCGTTTTTAAAGATACGTCAAATGTTTTAAGAATAAAGTTGAACGGTTCAATGGGGCTCACAAGATACCAAAAATATTTTTGTGTTTATGTCATTTTTTTCTAGAGGTGTGAAGGTCACCTTCATTTGTTTAAATGGAACCACCATTTTTTAAACAACTACGATAATAGTCCCTTTCATTAGGAACTATAATTAGTTTAGGTGACTTACCCTGTATAAAACGAAAGTTAATAAAGATATATTATTA